TCAAGACCTGATATGTATCCAGATTATCGCATTCAAAACAACCGGTTATATCAACATTTCTTTGACTACAGCGATATGAAGGAGAACCTGTCAACTGATCCGTGGAAACTCTGTGTTCCAAAATCAGCTCGTTTGAACGTACTTAGCCAAAATCACGATGAACCGACTGCTGGACACCTAGGAATTGCAAAGACTATAACTCGGATTGCTACTCAATATTACTGGCAAGAAATGTTCAGAGATATCACGCAGTATGTACGAAAGTGTGTCTCATGTCAACACTTTAAAACTTCTCAACGACAAACACCAGGAAAAATGCAACCGCCGAAAATCAACGCTCCTTGGAAAAGTATTAGTATCGATCTGGTAGGACCGCTTCCAAGATCAGCAAAAGGATGTAATTTTATTGTAGTTATTCAAGACCGCTTTACAAAATGGATTCACTGCCGCGCTATTAGAAAAGCCACCGCCCGTAGTATAAATCAGATTGTTTATGAAGACATATTGATGAAACTTGGATGTCCCGAGATACTTATTTCTGATAATGGCACTCAATTTACCGGTCATCTTTTCAAAGATCTTCTGAAGGACTATAACATTCGACATCACCTAACTACCCCGTACACTCCGCAGTCTAATCCTATAGAACGAGCGAACAAAATCATAAAGACTATGGTAGCTCAGTTTTGTGAAAAGGATCATAAGAAGTGGGATGTTTATCTGCAAGACCTGACGTTTGCATTTAACACCTCGAAAAGTGAATCAACTGGTTTCACTCCGGCATTTTTGAATTTTGGTCGCGAACTAGACCTACCTAAATCCTTCAGAAAAATCGAACAACCGCCACCAGACACGGAACAGCCGCCGCCAGACACCGAAACAATCGAACCGACTATGGAAGACATAGCCGCTACCACACAGAGATTACAACAACTTAAAGAAACATACGACTTAGTTCATTTAAACTTGTCTAGAGCGTTTAACATGCAAAGTCATCACTATAATTTACGCCGACGCGAATGGAAATGCAAAATAGGTGACCACGTTATGAAGAAAGAACATCATCTGTCTTCTGCAATAAAAGGATTTTCCGCTAAATTGGCTCCGAAGTATTCTGGACCTTATCGCGTGATTAGAGTTCTCTCACCGGTAACGTATGACATCCAATCTCTTTCTGGTAAAAATATGAACCGAGCCCATGTGAAAGATCTGAAACTTGCATATTAATTTTTATTTTTATATATTTTTCAGCTTATAGGTACCGGTATTTGAGAGTATGATATGCATTTTTTTTATTAAAGTTTACCGGTTAAATTAGAAAAAAATAGACAAATAAATTTTTCTTTCTTTTTAAGAAAGAAAGGGGGGTGTGTAACGAAGTTACGATTTTTTCTTAGTAATATTCAATTTTATTTTTCCCTTTTTTCCACCGATTACGAATTTTTTTTATTTAATTTATCTTTCTACTCTTCCATACATTAGAAAAAATTGATTCTTTTTCGAGAAGATAGTACTTTTTAAATAAAATTTTATTTGTTGGATTAACGTACGAACCGAACTCATTAATTAGCTTAAAAAGCGCTAATTAATAATTGAACGCATTCCACGCGCTCGATGCAGCCCGCTTGGTGCCGCTGTGGTACCGCTGGTACTAGATCGGGTATCGAGACGTGCACACCGCTCGGCGCACGCCGCCACCACGACGGTTTTCAACTGGAGGGAAGGACTGGGAAAAATAAGAAGCGACGCGCCAGCCATAGGAAGGCAGTTCCTGACCCAGCCACCAACCGAGGAGTTCCTACACCACCACCACCGACAGCACCAGCAGCAACAGTCGCCGCAGTCCGCCAAGCAGAAGCCAGCCCCGAGACACAGCCGCCGCCTAGCAGTTGGAAAGCCTGCCGTCCTCCGTCGTTTCTAATCCGCCGTCGCTCCGAAACCGCCCGCAAGGTAACCTTCAGGATTAGTATGGTATAGTATTGAGTACCGAGAATTCGTTGTTTATTTGGTTTTTAATTTTTAATTTTTTTTTCAGAAAGGAATCCTGTACCGTGGCAAAGTCTAAATAGTTTAGAATAAATTCCAAAAGTAAAAAAAAAATATTTTAAATACCAATAGCAAATCCGCAAAATCGAATACGCTTGAGTTATCAATAGGGACTTGGAAAAGCAAGTAAACTGTGAGTGTAATAAATCCAGGCAGTTTGCTTCAAACTCTAAATTCCTTATTGGTAATTTAATTAAAAAAAAATCATTAGGTCAGTTCTTAGATTTTGTTTTAATCACTTAAAACATATCTGGGTCGTTAATGAGGACTTGGTAAAATAAGTAAGTTGTGAGTGTGATAAATCCCGGCAGGTTGCTTCGAATTCCAGGTTCTTCATTCACTGCTTAGATAAACTATCTTTAGTTTAATTCTTTTTCCGAAAACAATCCGCAGTAAATCGTTCTGTCAGTTCTCTTAATAATTAAGCGGTATATCTCTAGTGAAGATTAGGAACGTGGGAAAGTTGTGAGTGTGATACATCCCGGCAGGTTTCTTACACACCGATCCCTTCACTATAGATACACTTGCTGAACTCTTATAGTTTTCCGCATTTCCTTTCAGTCGTAATTTAATTTTTATTTTATTTATTTTATTTCTTTTCGTTGTCATATTTAGACCTTAGCCCCGCCGTACTTTTTTTAATTTTAAATAAATAATTTTTGGAGTATTTTCTTATTCTCCCCGACATACCTTCAATTTAAATAAATAATTATTAGAACAATTTCTTGTTAACTCCGAAACACTTTTAATTTAATTAAATAATTATTACAACATTTGCTTATTGGCACACCTGTATTTATTTTAATATTTTGATTAAAACCTTTAATAGAATATTTTAAATTCTTTTCACTAACACTCTCAAGTAAATTTTGTTTTCTTTTCTCTTTCTGAATTTATTGACAAGTTCTAACATTAATTATTTTTTTTTATTTAAGAATAAATTATTTTTTTATTAAGTTGGGAGTGCCGTCCTTCCCCTAACAGTCCGTAGTTTTTATTAATATTCTTTTCTGTGTAGATTTGCTCCAACCCGGTGACGAGACTCTACGCATCGGAGCCAATTTGAGCGCTAGGTGTCGCAACTAGCCACCTACACATCGCCGTGCCTTCCGCCTTTTTGAAAGAAGAAAGACGTTTTTTTTTGCATTTAAAATAAAGCTTTGACTTGTAAATAGTTTTGGAAAACACGACCTGCCCTTTATTTTACAACTGTTGATTAGAGTTTAATTTATTTTCCCCACCTCTGAGCTAAAAGAACTGTAACACTGCCATACTTCTCCACTGTTTAAAAGCTACCCGAACCGGCACTAGTGGGCCTCTAACCACTTATTAACTAGAGGTGGCGCCCGAGATCTTCTAAGCAACAATACAAGAAACTTAAGCGTCAGTAACACAGCTCAGGAAGAAGCAAACGTTACAAATTTGGGTGTCCGAGAACAGGGACCTTGCAAATTTGGCATCCGAGAGCTACGTTACAGCATGAAATTGCGAGAGTTAGCGCTTGCCCTAAACGTGTACAACGTTGTCGTTCATTTCCAGTAATTTCTAGTGATTTATGCTAATGACATTTTTTACTTGGTATGCTTGGAATTGCGTAATGCAGTAATTATAATTACTATCTTGTTTATTATCCATACTCAACGCTTTTCCCATATCTAGGATTTGCTAAATTCTTTTAGAAGTCACAAGACCCTTGTATATAAATTCTTGACAAAAAATTGAGGTATTGAGGTACAAATACAATTGAGGTATAAATTCACGAATAGGCAGAATTAACGAAACATTATTGATATAGACTTTTAAATTTAGGACAGAAGTTTTTCCAATCTGTTTATTATTGCCAACAAGCAAATTCATAAATAATCAGAAATTTTACTAGCCTGACAGGAAAATGCATAAAGTGAACGCTATTGAAACTGGGTACATAGGCAATAAAATTGGTGAATCAAAATGCAGAAAATACGATAAAAATTACAGAAATGGGAACCACCAAATGCAGTAGAGTTAATTTTTCGCAATCAGCCCATTTAAGTACGCCCTTTCCCTTCGCATCATCATCCTCATATGTCTAATAGAATATTATATAATGGCTGTTAAAATCCTATACGATAAAATGGGTATTCTGATTTTTGAATTTTTTGGGGGAGTAAAATTAAATTTTTCATTAGGAGGCTTGTAGATAGATGTTACTTTGCAACTGCTCAGCTCTATGGTTAAACTTTCAATGTTTCTCTTCTGTTAGAGATACAGAGAGCACCGCTAGACCGGGCCTTATAAAGACGACACTACCTGCTAAATTTGGTCTTTTTTGACTAATATCTCTGTGCGTTTCTTGCATGCACAAAACGTCACAATTTATATCTCCACACATAGTTTGAAGAAGTATTTCTTTACTGGCTGACAAGCTTTCAATGTTTATTATTATACTCATTATCGTCAATTTTGGTCTTGAAAAGGACCTGTTGTTTTTCCTATCGGACATCGCAATGCTTCTGTGATTGGAAAGATCAGCCGGTTAAATAAAACTTCAACCGTTCTCCAGGGAACGACCGAGTTTATCTATAGCACGTTAAACACACACTGTGCCTGGAGGCTCTTTCCATGTCCCTCTTTCCGTATTATTTATAATTTATATATACAGTATGATTGAAGAAAAAGGATGTCAGCGATAGGTAAAATTTGTTTTTATATAATTTTCACTCTTTACATATGTTTAACTTTTACGTATGTATTATATATGAAATTAATATATATTATTTATGTAATGTTCTTTAAAATCAAAGAAGGCGATAGAGAGACATTAATAACCTCTACAGATGCATGAGAAATACATTTATTTTTATTACTTTGTGTTAAAAAAGTCTCTTTTATTTTTCTTCTAGAAGCTAACGCTTCTTTCATTAATTTTTTTCACCTAATTAATATAATTAATATGATCAATTTTTTATCTTTACCTAATTTGTAACAAGCCAGCCGAAGCTCCCGAATCTGAAGCTGTGGAAGAAGTGGAAGGCCTCTGTTCATCTCTGTAGTAGGTTGGCTGATCAATTTTTCCCCGAGAATCTCTTCTTTTTCTCGTAGCACCAACTATTTTCGGAGGTTGTGGAGGAGGAGGAAGAATAGTTGTAGCAGAATCTCGTCTACCTACATATAAAAATATTTCTTATTTTAACACTTCCTTGTTATATGTGAAAAGAAATGTGTGTGTGGCATGTCATATTATAAGCAATATTGACGTACTTCAAAGTCTATAAAAATAACTAATTTGTATTTATGTATAATAATTTTGTTCACTGTCTAAAACTTAAATTAAAAATCGCTAATGCTGGTATTAGCGACCCAATGATTTTTCACTCGTATTTTACCATTGAAACCGCCATATGAAATAATACTGCGTGTATCCAGAAAACTATTACAAAATTTGAAATATGTACTTTAAATACAAAAAATCCTCATTTTTTAGTTCTCTATCAAATAAAAAAATAATATACAGGGTGTTCCATTTAAAAAAACGAAGAAAAATTACTTTATATTTTTGAAAGTTTGGCGTAAAATATTGAACATCGTGTATGGTTTACGATTACAATATTTATAGCGAAGTAAGAACAGACCATCTAAAGTAAATATCTAATATAGTTTTGATTTTAGAGTAGTCTTATATTTTTAAATATTTTTTTTAAGAAGGGTTGAAAAATAAATATTTTTGATTTATTTTTTTATATCTCTGAAACTATCGAAAGAGATTTACTCATATCTTAAGATTATGTAAAGTAATCTGAAAGGAAGCCAAAAATGCAATAATATACAGGGTGTTGTAAAATGGCCCATTTAAAAAAAATAATCCAGATCCACTACTACTTTTTTGAGCCACTCTATAGAAGTTAAAATATTTTCCGGAAATACACCCTCATACATACTTTAGGTTTGCACTTAAATAAAATTCTCAAGTTTTTTATTCTAGGAGCTACAGATGCCCGACGCACTATTGCCGGATCCTGTATACTTAATAATGGGTATACAAGAATAGTATTATGTTCTAGTTTTTGGTCTTGAAAAGGACCTCTTGTTTTTTCTATCGGACATCGCAACGCTTCTGTGCTTGGAAAGATCAGACGGTACCATTATCCTATATATATATAAATATATATATATATATATATATATTTTTTTTATTCTTTTCTTTGACCTCTCAATATATATTTTATTTAATTTTTTCTTGGCTTTAGCTCAGGTAAAAATGAGAAAAAAGGTCAGGTTTTTTTTATTTAATTTTTTCTTGGCTTTAGCTCAGGTAAAAATGAGAGAGAAAAAGGTCAGGTTTTTTTTATATTAAAAATTTCATTGACGTTTCGACCTGGTAGGGTCTTTATCAAACTTTATTACTAAAAAAAAAAAATTATAGTCACATTATGAACGTACTAATTAAAAATAATAATAATAATATATATATATATATATATATATATATATATATATATACTATATATATATATATATATATATATATATATATATATATATATATATATATAAACTGTTACCTTGAACGTAGATTGTTTACTTATTACAATTTTATCATTTTCATTCTGAAATCTATTTTTATAAGGTGGCGTGAGAGAAAAAAAAATATAAAAAGCCTACCTTAGCGAAGAAAATAATCTAATATCCAACATTGGTTTCCACACACATAACCTAAACATATCAATAAAGTCGTCACAATTTTTGTAAAGAGACATACACATTTAATGGGTTTTACAACACTGAATAATATATCTTACTCAGGTTGTTTAAATCCCTCCTATCATTAACAGAGTGTTGGTTTTTTTGGATAGCAATAGATTCAAGAATTTCTCTTTTTTTGGTGTTATATTCGGTGCCAATTATTTTTGTACTTTCGAAGTACGGTGCTTCGATGGGTGCTTCGATTTCAAGTGCAGTAGCACAAATAGTAATGGAGGACTTAGAGGAAACAGTACTCTCAAAAATCACCTAGTCGATACCGTTTTTCTTTAGATTTGTTGACGATTGTATAATGGCAGTCCCAAAAAATCAAGTTGAAAACATCTTAACAATATCGAAATTGAACAAGAAAATAAAATAAACTTCCTTGATTTAACATTATATCACATAAATGGAAACATTAGAACCGAATGGTATACCAAAAAATCATGGTCTTCTCGTTATTTAAATTATAATTCTCATCATCACATAAACGAAAAAAAAATCTGTAATTATAGGGCTAGCAGATCGTGCAATACAACTACCAGACCCAGAATATCGACAAAACGCGATAATTAAGGCTAAGGATGCTCTTAAATTAAATAGCTACCCACATGACATAATTAATAACATTTTTAAAAAACGAATTCACAAATTTTACAACTCACACCAACATAGTAAACCTATAAATAAGGACAATAAAAAATACATTTCTATCCCTTTTGTAAACGGACTGTCACAACAAATAAAACATTTACTTGGTAGTTATAATCTCAATGTATGTGACAAATCACACAATTTATTGGCGAGTAATTTTTCAAGGCTCAAGACAAAAACACCGAAAAACAAAAAAAGCAATCTAATTTACGAAATACCCTGCAAAAATTGCAGTGGAGTTTATATAGGACAAACCAGTCAGTATCTTGAAAACCGTTTAAAAGATCATAAATACGACAAGAAAAATAAAACAGCCCTAACTTTGCATGAAATCCCAAAAAATCACAGTTTTGACTTCGAAAGTACAAAAATAATTGGCACCGAATATAACACCAAAAAAAGAGAAATTCTTGAATCTATTGCTATCCAAAAAAACCAACACTCTGTTAATGATAGGATAGATGTAAACAACCTGAGTAAGATATATTATTCAGTGTTGTAAAATCCATTAAATGTGTATGTCTCTTTACAAAAATTGTGACGACTTTATTGATATGTTTATGTTATGTGTGTGGAAACCAATGTTGGATATTAGATTATTTTCTTCGCTAAGGTAGGCTTTTTATATATTTTTTTTCTCTCACGCCACCTTATAAAAATAGATTTCAGAATGAAAATGACAAATTTGTAATAAGTAAACAATCTACGTTCAAGGTAACAAAATAGAATTTTTATATATATATTATTATTATTTTTAATTAGTACGTTCATAATGTGACTATAATTTTTTTTTTTAGTAATCAATTTTGATAAAGACCCTACCAGGTCGAAACGTCAATGAAATTTTTAATATAAAAAAAACCGTTTTTCTCATTTTTACCTGACCTAAAGCCAAGAAAAAATTAAATAAAAAAAAAATATATATATATATATATATATATATATATATATATATATATATATATATATAATATATATATATATATATATATATATATATATATATATATATATATATATATATATATATATATATATATATATACATGCAATCCGCCTTTATCAAGACAGAGAAACGTACCACGCGCCATCATTACGAAGCCCGATTTGGTTTAGGAAGCCCGATTTCGGGCTTCGTAAAAACACGATGTATATATTTAATATAGGCATCAGGAAGGTCATCTCTATCGATAGCCGAAAATTGGTCGGGCTTCATAAAAATCTTAAAATATATCAAAATATACACCTCTAGTACCCATGTATGTGTGACCTAGGGGCGCGTAAGCGCGTAACAGACATATCAAGAGTATAAGAAGCCCGCTGTATATGTTTTGATATATATTAAGAGTATAAGAAGCCCGCTATATCCGGCACCATCGTACCCTACTTAAACGAAAGAGTTTAGATCTTTCTACTTAAGATTATCATTAGAAAATTAATGAAATAGTTTTTTTAGATGTTTATATTGAATTTAAAATAAATTTATTTTAGAAAATTATTTTAAGACTTAAGATTTTTAATTACACTAAGAAAATATAAATGGAAGCTTTAAAAATATACAGTGTTATAATATAATAAATATAAAAAACGTAAATATTCGTAAATCATATTTTATAATATTACTTTGTTTTAAATATACAGGGTGAGTTTCCTACGATGTTCTTTATGGGTATCTCGGAAACTACTGGAGCTAGAGTCGGTTAAATGGGGAAAGAATTGTAGTTTTGTGGAGTCATAAATATGCGCTTTTCAGATTTTTTTTCAGATTTTTTCAGAATTTTCAGAAGTTCATGGCTTGCTAGATATTTCGAAAAAAAAACAAATTTTGGCTATTTTAAAAATTATCCCTAATTCCATTATAATCTATTTTAGACAAAAAGTTTTCAGATTAAAGTTGTAGATAATCACATCCTTAATGAGATTGTGTCCTCCGTTTTCTTCTAAAGCCTGTCATTTTTGACATATGATACAAACATATCTTTTTTTTAAATGGAAACCATAGTTGGCCATGACTTCATAAAAAGCGCCATTTTTTAAGCTTTTTAGCGATATAAGCTGTAATATGTTTTTTTTCGAAAAATTACCGAGTTATAGCCAATTCTTATCATTTTTAAACAGTTTCACTTAGTTAGCCATGGAAACAAGTTCAATCTCCGTTGCTCTCAGAAATGTGAAGCTGTCACATCCAAATTTTGTAAATCAAAATGAAAAAAAATTGTAAATATGAATTTTTCAAATGAAAAAAAGCGTGTAGATACTCGCGCATCAATAGAGTGGTTCCAACATGACTTTCATTATGACCCCCCCCCTTAATGAAATAAATGTTAAAATTTATTTATATCATAATAATTATGCAAACTCAAGAATAGGAAGAGATGGACCAATTGCATGGGCCTCCTCGATCACCTCACCTAAAGTGCGAAACATTTAAGTTGAACAGCGCGGCATCGGTACGGGGGGTATGGCTTCAGTTGAATTTATCCGTAATTGCCCAGTGGTTTGCATTGGCCCGCATTCCTTTCGCTGTTCAATTTAAATGTGTCGAATATTATCCATTTTAGATTTTGTATGCGGTATGGTTAAGAATAAGGTTTACAAAAAAGCTTATGAATTAAGAGAGGCACTCGAAGTGGCAGTACGAGAGAAGTTTAAATCGACCGGTCCTTCTGTGTGAAATAGGTAGTAATTCAGTTTTAAAAAGATGCAACTCAAAACAAAGGCGGATTTTTTGAACATTTCTAAAATAACTTAAAGTGTGTAGTGATATT